TCCCTTGCAAAAAAAGGACGAACTGCACACGCGCGCGCGTCGTCGCGCGAGCATGCCGAAATCCTTCAAAAACCTTCGGTTTCGGAAGGATTTCAAAATCGGGCATCCAACATTGGTTAAACAAAAACAACACAGGATTTCGCAACACGGATTTTCACGAAAAGCGTGCGCGCTCTTGCGATTTGTTATTTTAATATCATATAAAAAACCTTTAGTTCTTCCGCATTCTTTCAATATGCTACCAAGCGGGCTTCGTGCGCGCATGCCGAAATCGTTCGAACGCCCTTGCGCACGTGCAGGGGTGACAGGGTCCACGTCAACTAATACGAATGCGAGTCACTCTCGCGCGTCTGCCGCGCGCGAATTTCGAATTCCTTCCAAAACCTTCATCGCCGACGCGAAGAAGCCGTCATCGTCGTCGGCGTGCTCAGCATCGGCGCCGTCACTGGCTGCCCCGCCGTCGCTGTCAGCATCGTCGCCAGCATCGCCACTATCATCATCGTGTCTACCGTTGTCGACGTTGCCATGATACCGCGCCCGCCCAAGCCGCCGACTCGCACTGAAGTGCCCGCTGGGATGTGCCGAGCGGTCAGCGCCACCGCGTTCGCGTCGGTCGCGCCAAACTAGCTGGCCGCTGCGCGCGCGAGCATGCGCGGGCTAGCGCGGCCGCAGAGATGCACCAGTCAACACCCAGCACTCATCGCAATCGCTTCCGCATGGGGTTTGCAAACCGAGTTGCGGGAGGGTGGGTGGGATGTTTGCGCGAGCAGTGGAGTGGACAACTTCAAGTTGAGCATTGGTGACTTTGCACCACATAGATTGCACCACATGGATTGCACCACCTAGGTTGCACCACATAGATTGCAAGGAATCACTGTATGGGGTCCACGTTGGCTGCGGAGCTCTCCCCTCTTACCCGTCCTTTCTGCGTCTGCTCCCCCCTCAATCCCCTTCCTCTTTCTCGCCCTCCTTCTACGTAATCAGGCACCCCATGATGATCACAGTCATCCCAACTACCACCACCAGAACAATTATCACCAACACCATCACTAGCAGAATCATCATCAACACCATCATCAGTATTACTGGAATCAACATCGTCATCGTCATAGTCATCGTCATCATCAGCATTACTCGAATCATCATCATCATCATCATCATCGTCGTCGGCGTCATCATCATCCGCATCATGATCAACATCATGAGCACCATCATCATCATCATCATCATCATCATCATCATCATCATCGTCGTCGTCATCATCATCATCATCATCATCATCATCATCATCATCATCTTAATCATCATCATCAGTACCATATCAACATCATCAGCATCATCATCACCACCACCATCATCAGCATCATCATAATCATCATCATCATCATCATCATCATCATCATCATCATCATCATCATCATCATCAACATCATTATCAGAATCATCCTCCTCCGCCGCCTCGTCGTCGTCGTCGTCGTCGGTCGTCGTCCCGCCCCTCCTCTCTTCCTTATCCACCAACGTCCTGCATACTCCCCCCCTCCCCCCGCCTTCTGATCCCATGCTCTTTGTATTCCTCCCCATCCTTCTCCGCCGTCCCCTCCGTATCTCACCACCATCGTCACACAATGCGGACGCGGCCGCAAGAAACCCTCGCAAGAAACCCGGCCCTGAAACCCCTCAAGCGCGAGATGCAAGCGGGGTGGGGGGAACCATAAGCATCCCGAACGCCGCAGCTCTCTCAACGGCCGCGGAAGCCACTGCGCAGCGCGCGGAGTGTAGAAATCAAGGGTGCCCTGGTGAAAATTACTCTCTGGATGCGTCCCCCATCACCTGCTGCGCATGAGGCGTCGGAGTTCCAAGAGCAGGAGAGCCAGAACCCCGACGCCATGATGGTTTCAGTACGTCTGATCCCCCGAGGTCTCGACCCGTTCCCCGGGACCGGCTTCTCGTCCCGAGTCGTTGTTTGACGGCCCCGAGGCCTGGTAGGGTCCCCCAGGAGCCGAACATGGCAGAAAACTCTCCGCCGTGATATTTTCCTGACTCGACGGGGCCTGTACCACTCACTCATCACCGTCACCGTCACCGTCACCGTCACCGTCACCGTCACCGTCACCGTCACCGTCACCGTCACCGTCACCATCACCATCACCATCACCATCACCATCACCATCACCATCACCATCACCATCACCATCACCATCACCATCACCATCACCATCACAATCACCATCCATCATCACCATCACCATCACCATCACCATCACCTCACCCCATCGTCCCCAGGCGAACCCAGAATCGAATGGACCCGTCGGATCGGCAATCGAAATGAATCGGATCGGCGGAAATGGGCAGCCGAGTCGGAAAGAGCCGAATCAGCGGAAATCGGCAGGCTAGCCGGCCTCCACTGAGACATCGGAGCCCACGTCGGAATCCGAAGTCGCATCGACTCGGCATCGGAAGCCGCCGAGATCGTATGGAATCGAGCCGGAGGAATCGAGACGAGCCCTGCTCGTCCCTCAGCCTCCGCCGCCCAGGCCGCCGAAGGACAGCCGAGGGTGGCGCCTGGACGGCATTCTCCCCGTTGCGGAAGACGACCTCGCCCGCCCCCCCAAGCCGCGGGCGCCGTCGCCGCCCCCGACCGCGCCGCTCGCAGGCTCCGCGGCGCCGCATCCGTCCTTCGCCGTCGTGCACCTCATCCCCCTAATTCATCCGCCTCTCCATCATCGTCATCATGATCCTCCTCCTCCTCACCATCAGCAGCACCAGCATAACCATCATCATCATCATCATCATCATCATCATCATCATCATCATCATCATCATCATCATCATCATCATCATCAGCAGCAGCAGCAGCAGCAGTATCAGCACAAGCATCAGCATCGTCCTCGTCACCGTCATCGTCAATATCATGACCATCAACATCACCACCACCATCATCATCATCATCAGCATCATCATCACCACCATCATCATCACCATCATCAGATCATCATCATGATCGTCAGATTCTGCCACCGGCACACGCTGCTTGAGGACTCGAACGCGGCACGGGCAAGCTGGGCTGGCTAGGAACGATACAACTTTGCTCAAGGTGCACACAGAAAACCAGGCTTTGGGATGGCGTGGGCCGAAAAAAGGGCCTTGAGCAACAAGGCGGCAGACATAAACAATCATTCTCGTGGATCACTTACATGATCCTCAGATTTTGCCACCGGCACAGACTGCTTGAAGATTCGAACTCGGCACAGGCAAGCTGGGCTGGCCAGGATCGATACAACTTGCCATCACCCAACAGAACAACACACACACACACACATACACCCTTACTCAAGCATTGTACTGGGGCCTACCCCCGCATATGTTTCCATCCTCTAATGGATTGCTGTGGCATGGACGCTTTGTGCAAAGATTTGGTTAGAAGGGCGCAGAGGGCAGGCGGATAAGCGTTTTTCAACATGGTGCCGAATCCGCCCTGCGAAACACCGGTGAGGTCAACGTGAGGCTTACCTGAAAAGGAGCACACACACACACCCCTGCCCTTGCAAATCAAGTTACCCGAACCAGGATGCGGGCGACACTGAAGGGGCCCAAGGACACACAAATAAATCCACTCAACAAAAAGATTCCCAATTTTTTCCCGTATGTTTTTGCTTTCGTCTTCCCCACCACTTCCCATATGTTCCCATGTTGTTTCTGGGGAATCGGCGATTCGTTGTGTCGGTGTGTTTCTTTCCCTCCTGCGACACTTCCAAAATCTGATTCTAGCCCTCGCTCTAGACGGGCGGCCACAAGCACAGCCGTCGACCACTTTACCTCGCAGACATCGGGCAGCTTGGCGAAGGCGCAGAGGTCTGGGCGAAGCCGCGGGAAGCCCTGCCAAGGATTCTCCTCCCCGCCAGGAATGTCTAGGTCATAACAAAGACGTTGGATTCGCTGCGAAATCCAGCCTAGTTGATTGGAAGCTCGATGGCTCTCGGGGCCCTCACCAGAGAGGCCTGGGATCCCTAAAGAAAAAGCGGGTCTTCTGAAGGCCGAGGGCATGTTGCTAGACACGGGGTCGCGACGCGCTCTGGAGTGAACGCTACAAGGCGCCCACAAGACAAAACGAGTTACACAGGCCCCGAAGTTATCCGACCTCGCAGGTTCTTCCAGACCCCAGGGCGAGTTACATCGAAACAGTTTTCCCATTCTACAACGGCCTCCCCCGCTGCCTCAGACGTTTGCTCAGCTCAACATATCCCGAGAAGACCCCCGCGCAAACTCGCCTTCGGTGGGGGGCGCTCCGAAATGCTGCACCAAGGACTTGTTGGAGACGACGACGAAGTCCCTCCCCCCCGCTCGAAGCGCCTCGCGCTGGTGGTCGGACAGCTTGCGAAGCTCGAGCGATGGGCGGCCGTGCTTTTCGCAGCGCAGCACCGACTTGAACGCTTTCCGCCCCCCTCGTTGCTGCACGGCGCCTAGGCTTCCGACGCCCGCGCTCCGGTCGCGGCTCGCCCCATCCATGCCAGAGGGGGCAGAGGGCGGGCTTGAGTAAGCCCACGCCCAGTCCTGCGATGGCGCTATCCCATAGATCCGACGTCGTGATTCTTTCAATACGGGGTCCCCAGAAGTCTCGACCCATTCCCCGGGACCGGCTTGACGTCCTAAGTAGATTTTTGACGCTCCCGAGGCCCGGCGAGGGCCTCGGGAGGCCGAAAACGGAGAAAAACCTCCGTCTTGATTTTTTCAAGACGCTGGATCTCTGGGATGGAAGGCCCTCCGCAAGCTCTCCGTAACTCAGGCCCAAGAAGAGGTCGTCTGGATCGCACGGGGTCCGTGCAAAAGAGAATGGGGCCACCATCCACCGCTGTCTCTGAAGGTCGAGCGGCGCTTAAAGATCGCACTCGCTCGCCTTCGTTGATGTCTCGTGCTCCGAGGCTCTCGCAACGAACGTGAGAAAGATGACGGCCCCTCCCCTCCTTCGGAAGTGGCAGGCCGACTTGCCTGGCACGGGGGGCCAGGATCTCGGATGGGCGCGTGTAAGTCTCGAACATGATCAGGTCAGCCAGACCACTGAGCGCCTTCCCCGCTCGAAGCAGCCAGCGAGCCGCAGCCGGCACCACCAGGAACGGGACTGGCGGCCTCGACTTGGACGGCTCTAGGGCGTTCCAGCCTTTGAGCGTCTGGTGCGTCAGCGGGGGGGCCTCGCGGGCCCCCGCTCAGTCGAGGGCAGGCTCGGCCCAAAGCCGCGCGGGCGCCAGTCGCTGGGTCGACGCCTTGGAGCCTCCGCGGTCGTAGATCGACTCGGCGCACCCAGCCAGCGCCTCGCCCCAAGAGCGACGCGGCCAGTCCGGGGGGGCAGCCCAAACCCAGCCAGCGCACCAAGCCGAATACCATCCCCAGGCAGAGCTCCTGGGTGCGCGGCCTCACCTTCGCCGCTGCCAGGCCGGTCTGGCGGGGGCAGAACTGGCGTCGCTTTTGGTCGAAGTCGCTCGCCGAGCGATCGCGGCCAAGCCTGGCGCGATGCCCAGCCAAGTCTGGCCTGCTCCCTGGCCTGGCCAGCGCCGGCACCGCGGCCCGCCTCGGCGTGGCGAACGGCTCCCGCGCCCGCTCGGCGCGCGAGGCACGCGGCTGCAGCTCGCCGAGGCCGCCGGCGCGGGTGGCGCCGCCTGGAGCGTCGCCACCTCCATATTGCCCGCGGTCGCCGCAGGGGCCATCACGAGCTTGAGGCTGGAAACGGCGAGAGGGCCCATCGCTCGGGTTCCATTCTGATGGGGGCCACCAAACCTGGAACTTCAAGTCAGCGGCGACTCCAACTGCGAACAGGACACAACACACTCCTAAGAGACGACGGTTGGCGGCACGGCCTTCGGCAGCAGCATGGGCGGGTGACATGTTATCTCCGAGAAGGGGCCCGCGCGAACAATGCTGCCAGGCATCCTTGGATGCGCGGCGGACCGCCCAGGTCAGGGCAGCCCCCTCGAAGCCGTGGGTGGCCTCCTTGCGCCCCCAGCGCCCGCGGCCCACAACCCGCCAGGGCCTGGCGTGCATCTTGCCGTAGTCGACCTCCGGGAAGCCAGCTGCGCGCCCAGCAAGGACGAGGGCGGGCCCCGACGCCCGCGCGATCTCCTGCTCCAGCGCCCTCTCGCGGGGGGCGCCTTCTGCTGCCGGCGCCCCTCTGAAGCGAGCCTGCTCGGGCGCCCCACGCGCCGCGCGTCCTCGCGGTCCCACTCGGTCGCTGCGACGACGCAGCCCCTGGGCGACGCGTCGAAGCAGGTGGCCACCTCGCCCCATGGGCGGCGGGCGGCGGCAGAAGCGCCTTCGCCAACCCCGGATCGCGGGCCACGCCCTTCCAGAGAGGCTGCCGCTTGGAATGGGAAGCCCGCGCGCGCTCACGCGAAGGAGTGGGGCATCGCCAAGCCCTCGCGCCGCAGCGTCAGCAAGGAGACATGGCGGCCGATCAAGCGCTCGAGCACCTGGCCAGATCCTGGCCCACCTTGCCAAGACATACTCGAGGGCGCCGTAAATTCGCCAGAGCCTGCGCCCCAGCACATGCCAGCAGCCCGTCTGCAAGTCGAGCTCACAAACCAACAGCTCGCCACGCTCGCCCTGCGGGGGGTCGCCCCTGGCGGCGAGGGCCTTCTTCGTGTCCGAGACGGCCGAGGCTGCGCGGTCGGGGGGCTCCGGGAAAACGGCAAAGTTGTCGACGCGCAGAACTTCGGCGCCCCCCCACACTTAGGTCAATGCCCGGGCACTTGTCAAGGCACCAGGGCTGCGTAGGCAAAACCGACCTGACGATGTGTAGATGCGCCTCTTGAGCGAAGGGGACCGCCCGGCTCCAGACCCATCGGCGCCACCTTGAATCGAAAGCGAACCTGGCCACTCTTCAAAGTAAGAGCGCAAGCGTCCCAAACGCTCATGGGCAGGAAGCGACCCTCGATCAAAGGAAGGTTGAAATACTGCCTGCACCAGGGCGGCAGGGCGCACTGACAGAAACTGCAGCCAACGTCTCCAGAACTCATATGCCGATCATACTAACTTCCGACGCCTCCAGCGAAGACAAGGCCTCACCCGTCGCAGGCGCGGTATGTTCTGGACAAACAAAGTGCATGTTCGGTGTCCTGGTATCGCAAATGAGACGCAACCGCCTGCTTTTGCGCGCTGCACCAAACATGCCTGCCTCAACCAGCAGGCTCGGAACTCGCCTCGATGACGCCAGAAGAGAGCAACTCACCCAGCGCATAGCCGTAGTCGTAGCCGAGCACCCCGAGCTTCGGGCCCCTGGCGCGAAGGGCATCTGCATCTCGAATTGGCGCTGATGCCTCATCTGGGGACCGCAACAGCCCGCGCCAAGTCTCCAGCTTGGGCTGCAGATCACCAGGAAAGACCTCGAGAAGAGCCACCTTGCCAGCGCCGATCTCGGGGGGCGATATGTTTCCCCGCTGGTTGACAGTTCGAGCACCAGAGGCCTCGACTTCTGAATAGCTGGGCCAGATGCCCCGTTGCGCCCCCCACACTTCACGGGGGCGCGCACGATCGACGGGCGACGACCACTTGCCGTAAGTCGTGGCAAGCCACCTCACAGCAGCGCGCTGGGCTGCCGTCAGCGGGCGCGCGAAGGCACGAAGCGCCCCTGCCCGCCCAGCTTGTCGAGGGAAGCGGCGCCCTCGAGAAGCCGCTGATTCTGACGCCGTCCGGTCGCAGCTCTCCGCCGCGCTGTAGAGGAAGTGCCCCGCGCGGCCCCACCGCTCAGAAGAGACAGAAGTTCTGGCCCAATTGGAATTGGCAGCAGATCACGATGGCGGCCTCCGGCGCCGTCGTCACAGAACATTACGCCGAAGATCCAGCACCTCCCCTTAGACATAGTCGGCCGCGCGGGGGCAGGCGGTCGACCAAGCCACTTCGAAGTGCGGGTGGGGCTACGAGGCCCCGTCAGCGCCACCCTTGGCCTTGAACTTCGCATTGGCCCTGGCTGCGCTGGATGCGCTGCTCTCTCCCACACCGCCGCGAGCAATAACCTTCCCCTCGCGACCTTTGCGACGCTCCTTGAGCACAGCGGCTTCTGATTGAAGGCGAGCAGCCACCCAGCGCTGAAGTTCGGGACTGACGAGGGTGCCTCCACGCCCCCGCCCCTGCCCCAATAATATCTCACGTTCATCAAGCCAAGCAGAGGTTCCAGAATTGCGAAACGCTCCCACCTCGTGCTCTCGGAGTCTGTTGGCGTAGACTTCTTCCCACAACTGGTGCATCCGCGAAACAGCTTCAAAGATAGCGACCTCCCCTTCATTCAGTTGATCCTTCTCTGCCCCCATCTCGAGAAGTTCTGAAAAGGAACGGATGTTCATCAACTCCAGCATCGATTCTGAGTCTGTTTCCACCACGTGCGACGCTGCAGCGGAGTCTGTCCCAAACGTTTGAGCTGCTGCACCAACCAGAGTGTCGTTTTCGGGCCCAGGACGGGCCAGTCTGTCATGGGGCTCGAGGACATGATGTCTACAGCCTCGGTGAACGGTCTGCTCCTGACGCCACCACAGACGGCGAGGGTCCGCAAGTCCTGCTCCAACGAGTCGCGATCTGGCCGTGGTGTGACGGTACCCTCCAGTGCGCCGTGCTTCCCAACTGCCAACTTCGTGCCGTCGGCGAGCTCCACGATACTTCGGTCTCCAGAGGTACAAACGGGCGTGGCCCCTGCCAGAGGCTCGTCTCCAGGTCGGTAGCCCGCTCTGAACTCCAAGACCACCCAGCGAAGACCAGCACCTGGACCCACACGCTCCGCAACAGGCACCGCAAGAGCCGGCAACGGCGGGAGGGCGAGTGGTTCCTCTGGCAGGCCCCCCTCTCGGCAGATCTCGCAGGCCAGCTCCTTGCCCTCACCCAGCAGCCGCTCCTCGTTCCGCTTGAACCGATCCCAATCCATGCGGAACACTTGGCCAGGCAGCTTGGTCGGCAGTCCGCCGAGAGGGCCCACCAGGTAGAGGCGCAACGCTTCCGAGAAGTCCTCATCATAGATGTCGAAGGGTGGCGTGACCACCACCCACCCAGTGGGGGTAATACATCCAACCAGCACTCGTTCATGGCAGAAGTTGTCCTCGCGATCGTAGTAGGCGAAAACCCGCGTGCCCTGGCGAAGGCTCTCGAGTGCCCTGGCCGCCCGTGATGCTGCCATGCGGCGCTGTCTGCTCCTGGGCGCGCCGCCAGCAGGCCAGGCTGGCCACCTCGCGGAGCGCTGCCCCCGCGACCAAACCGAGCGCCAGCGCGAGCCCCAGCTCCAGGCTGGTGTGGCCCTGCGGCGGGCAGGCAGGTGTGAACGCCGGCTGCCGTGGAGGTGCTCGGGGCCACACTTGTCGAGCTGCTCCTTCAGCAGCCCAATCAATGCCTCGTCGGGCGAAGCGTCGAAGTGGCAGCTGAAGTCGCACGCGCTGACGCTGCCGCCGAGCCAGGCCCCGATCGCGTGCCCTTCCACCGTCAGGGCCAACCGACTGCCCGCGTCGATAAGGGCTACGGCCATTCAGGGAATGCTTTTCCCGCAAGAAGTGCCTTGAGCAAAAAGGCGGCAAGCATAATCAATCATGTTCGTGGACCCCTTACATCAGCATCACAAGCATCATCATCATCATCATCATCATCATCATCATCATCCTCATCATCATCAGCATCACCATGATCATCATCATCATCATCATCATCATCATCATCATCATCATCATCATCATCAGCAGCAGCAGCATCAGCAGCAGCAGCATCAGCACCAGCATCAGCATCATCATCATCATCATCATCAGCATCATCACCAGCATCAGCATCAGCATCAGCATCATCAGCATCAGCACCAGCATCAGCATCATCGTCATCGTCATCGTCATCCTTATTAGCATCATCCTCATCATCATCAGCATCATCATCATGATCAACATCATCATCAGCATCAGCATCATCATCATCATCAGCATCATCAGCATCATCATAATCGACAGCACCATCATCAGCATCAGCATCAGCATCATCATTATCAGCATCAGCATCGCCACCACCATCACCATCAGCATCATCATCACCACCATCATCATAATCATAATCATCAGCATCAGCATCAGCATCAGCATCAGCATCACCATCATCGTCATCGTCATCATCATCATCATCATCATCATCATCATCATCATCATCATCATCATCATCATCAATTCATCATCATCATCATCAT